TTGGGATTTTGATTGGCATTGCATTAAACCTATAGAGAACTTTTGGTAATATCGCCATTTTGATGATGTTAGTTCTGCCTTTCCATGAACGGCGTATATTTTTCCATCTTCTAAGATCTTCTATTTCTCTCTTTAGGGTTCTGTAGTTTTCATTGTATAAGTCTTTTACCTCTTTTGTTAGGTTGATTCCCAAGTATTTTATTTTTTTTAAGGATATTGTGAATGGAGTGGTTGTCTTCATTTCCATTTCAGAGGATTTGTCGCTGATATACAGGAATGCCTTTGATTTATGCGTGTTGATTTTATATCCTGCCACTTTGCTGAATTTATTTATTAGCTCTAGTAGTTTCTTTGTAGATCCTTTTGGGTCTTGTAGGTATAAAATCATATCATCTGCAAATAGTGATAATTTAAGTTCTTCTTTTCCTATCTTAATGCCTTTAATTTCTTTTTGTATGTGGTGCTGAGGATCGAACCCAAGGTCTCACACATGCGAGGCAAGCACTGTACAGCTGAGCCACAACCCAGCCCCTTGCCATATTCTTTTCGTACCCAAATGTATTCACTTTTTACTGAAGGGATATGCCCTAGCCTTGAAATAATGTTATTGTCCCATATAGAGAGCTCATTGATGTCATGGGTCAGTTTATGAGGGGGAAAAAACCCACATTGCTCTTTCAGTGTTTTTTTTTTCTTATTTAGATATTTAGTATCTTAATCTTTTTCATATTCATAGTTTTGGTATGATTTTTAGATCCTAAAGATCTTCCCAAATCCTCCCATTTATTGATGATGTGATCTGGTTTTCATACCTGCAAACATATTCTCCTCTCTGACTCTTCAGAAAACCAGTTAAATAGGGTTGCACAGGATAATTTTTCCCAAAAACTGTAGAAATTAATATTGTCTACCTAAAAATATCATATTTAGTTAGTGTCCTTTCCTTTCATTGGCATCTACAATTGCTGGTTAACTAGAATCTTCATTTCATTTTGTCCATTCTAACCTTCAAAAGACCGTCTTTGCTGGTCTGTGTGGTTGCTAGAAGGAGGCAGTTGGATGGAGAATGTTGTTAAAGATTCCATTGTTCTTAAATATTTACTTTTTCCTATACAAGTCCATAAAGGGAAGCCACTTTCAGAGAGTATGCTGGAAATGAATGCAGCTGCAGCAGATGTTTTTGCCAATAGAGATTTGTGCTACATTTTTGTCTTTATTATGTTATTGCCTTTGCTCCTGGGATCCCATCTCATAGTGCCATTCCCTAGGCAGGTTGTTTCTTCTAGGAGTGGTATTACCCAGATGATTTGGAGTTATGCTTTGGTAAATGCCATATTTATTCTTTATAATAACTATAGTATAGGGATCAACATGACTTCGACTTTTCTCCTCCAAGCCTAATATGTTAAAGGCACGGGGGGGGGGTTGTTTGTTTTTATTTTTGTTTTTAGCAGAATTAAGTTGTGGGGGAAGGGGACATGATACTGGGGATTAAACCACTGAGCCACATCTCCAGGCTTCTTTTTTAATTTTTATTTTTAGTTACAGATGGACATAATACATTTGTTTTATTTTTTATGTGGTGCTGAGGATCGAACCCAATGCCTAACACATGCTCTACCACTGAAACACAACCCCAGCGCCGCCCCCCCCCCCTTTTAAGGCAGTGTCTATTGAGTTGCTCAGGGCCTTGAACTTGATCCTCCTGCCTCAGCCTCCAGAGTCACTGGAACTATGGGCATGCACCCTACACCCAGCTAGAATTAAGTCTTTTGAAGACTTAAATTAGTTCATATTTCATTCCAGACTTTGCTGGAGAGATTGTTTATTTTGCCCTCATATACAAAGGAAGCTTAATGAAAATAATTTCTGACCCCTTAGAATTAATACAAAGACTATGAATAAGAACACTCAGGATTCAAAATTTATTTTGATTACTTAAGCATGAATCTTTTAACAGTGGGTTTTAGGCTAGGTTAAAGAGAATTTAATGAATTACTTGTCTCCAGAAATATGCCACCTTGTATGGGATTACCTGAACGTTTTAAGGAAGAAGTATAAAGACAAAAAGGATGTAGTTGGTAATTAAGGGCTTCCATGTGGATGAAGTTGCTAAAAAGAATAAACCCAAGTCCTGAGAATCAGGAGCCTACTACTCTCCTTGGTAGACAGTTAAACCATCAGGTGGTCCAGATGTGGCGGTGCATACCTGTAATACCAGCAACTGAGGAGACTAAGGCAGGAGGATTTCAAGTTTGAGGCCAGTCTTACAACTTAGCAAGGCCCTGTCTCAAAATTTAAAAGGCTGGGAATGTAGTTAAGTACTAGAACACCCTGGTTTTGGCCCCCAGTAACACAAACACACAGAACTTCACTATGCAGATATTATAAACTGTTTTCAGCACAATTTCAGTATCTTTTGAACTATTATGGGTTTGCTATCTAGGCAAACAATTAGGGTGCCAAATAATTGGATTTTATTGAAAAGAAAGTTACCTTAATCACTTTGAAGGTCAATGTGTTCTAGAGAATGGAAATGACTTAACTAATCAAACATTCTCTTGGCAGTGTCTTATCGCTGTCTGACAAGGTTTCCTGAATCTTTGGGATAATGAGTGGGGATCATGGTTTTTATCCGATGCTAAATTATCAGAATTTTGTTTGGCTTTTCATAGGTTCACCGGAACAGCACAATCCGCTCTGGCTGTGATGTAAATCCCTCCTGTGCACTGTGTGGTTCAGGCAGTGTCAACACCATGCTTCCTGAAATCCACTACGAAGCCCCTCTGTTGGAACGCCTTTCCCAGTTGGACTCTTGTGTTCACCCTGTGCTAGCATTTCCAGATGGTAAGAAAGACCACAGAATATAAAGTCTAATGAATGAGTCTTAACAAAGGTTTCAGCTCAGGTACTCACTCTAAATGTACCACTTCCCATCAGTCTTCAAACTTTGCAGAAAGGGTACGATAGATGCGCCAAACCAGTATGTGACACTAAAAAGACTGCAGCTTGCTAGGGAGTTTTCCCATTCACTCTTGAGTGTCTGGGAGGTGCCTGGGTTCAGTTGCCCCCAACCTCTAGTAATCTGGTTCTTTATAGCTTATCTTTAAAAATATGTTCTTTGTATGCACCATGATATAAAATAGAATGGGCAGCATTGTTCTTGTGAGTGTATTCATATTGGTGTGTATGTGAAGACATGACATCTTTCCAGTGTGTTCATCAGCGTGGATCCTTAGTGTTGGCATGTATTGTTTTTCTGATATTTACCTGCCTCTGATAAGTTTCTGTGTCTATCAGTTCTCCTTTCCCACCTCCCTTTTCACATCTAGCTCCCTCCAGTATGATAAAAGACATGCATTCCTCTTGGCCATGTTGAGCCTCAGTGTGGTATGGGTCTTGTTCCAGAGAATATAAAACACAGAAGACAACAAATAAAGGGAACATTTCTAAGAGTTCACAGCTCCTAAATAATAATCCCAGGATGGGATGTAGCTCAGTGCCTCAAATTTGCAAAGCCTTGGGTTGACCCCCGGTTCTCCCTTCCAAAAAAAAAAAAAAAAAGATAATAATTTTAATCCTGGGAATTAAATTTACAAGATGAGTGTGGATATAGTTTAGTGCTAGGACATTTGTTTAAGCATGAGCAAAGCCCGGTGTGCAAGCCCCAGTATCACTGCAGGGGTTTAGGTGGAGTGGCTAGTTTTTATTTAAAAAGAAAAGGAATGAAGCCAGTCATGGTGGCACACACCTATAATGCCAATAACACAAGAGGCTCATGCAGGAGAACTACAAGTTCGAGGCCAGACTGGGCAGCTGAGTGAAGACTCTTGTCTCAAAGTAAAACTTAAAAAAGAAGCTGGTGATGAATATAACTTACTGTGGAACACTCCTAGGTTCAATCCCCAGTGTGTGTACACACAGAGAGAGACTCCAAACAAAAAACAAAAAATAAAATCATGTTGGTGTAGACTATAATTTATAGTAAGTTTGTGTAAGTCAGATTTTGACCAAAGTCTTGGTGGACTAATGGCAGGTTCAACAGGAAGATTTTTTTCTATCAATTAATGAAAGTAAATATATTTACTTGCCAAAGTATTAATAAAATGGTTTTAAAGCATTTGTAGTATTCTAGAATATACAACCTTTATTAGTTAAAAAAGGGAGGCCAAGTAGTGTTCCAATAACTATTGGAACAGTGTTCCAATGACTATTTACAGCAATAGTCATTGCTAACCCCCATCCTTAAGAATCCCCCTTGTAATTGTCATTTGATCATTAAAGAACTGTAATTTCCTGTTCTGTGTGTGTTCTTCAAATGACTGAATTCTTTCTTGGCTCCCAAATGCTGTAGCTACGAGGAGTTTTGGCTTTTGTTACCAAAATCCTCTTTGTCAAAAGGAAGTGGTATAATATTCCTGCTGCCACATGATGACTTGTAAGAGTAGGAAAATTCAGAAAACTTGGAGCATATGGATAGCAAGATGATAAGAACCATGAGTAGGAAATGCCTGAACATTTTCCTGTGAACTTCATATTCAAAAGTCATTCACTTGTCCCTTTAAATTATAGATATTACCATTTCCATTATTATTTGTATAGTATTTTATGGTTTAAAAAGCACTTTTCTCATATTTGTCTCATTTGCCTCTTTCCAAAGTCTTGTAATTTTATAGATCAAAGAATGCTTAGTGAGATGTGGTGGTTTATCCAAGATTAAATGGCTGTAGAATTCAAACTGGGAGTCAGCTAATGCCTCTCCTTCCTCTCACTATATTCTGTGTTCCTTCCCAGAGAAATTATTATGAAAAGTCAGATTTCTGCCCATTTCAAGATTCTGACTCCAGACAGAGCCTCCAGGAAAACTGGAAAGCATTTTCTTGAGTTATTCTTTGAATTAATTAATTTATTTATTTTTATTTTGGTATCAGGATTGAACCCAGGGGCACTTTAATACTGATCTATATCCCCAGCACTTTTTATTTTGAGACAGGCTTTCACTAAGTTGCTAAGGCTGGCATCCTCCTACCTCAGCCTTCCAAGTCCCTGGGATTATAGGTATGGGCCACCATGCCAACTACTTTCTGAAATTATAGTGTTATATGGTCTCAAAATGAAGACCAAAAAAAAAAATCCAAAATTGTACTCAATGAAAATCCCCTAATAAGCATGGTAATCATTCCTTTGTCAGTAGTGTTACCATGTATAACTGGTCTCCCCCAACTCACAAGCAAATATGCCTGAGCCACCTGCCTCACATCTCTCATGTATTTTATCACTTAGCATGCTATTAACTCGTTCCCTATTAATATTTTCTGCTCTACTTGCTACGTCATACCTATATGACTACCACCCTTCTGCCCTCCCTTACACTTCACTATACCATTTCATTCCAAGCAGTAGAATAAAGAAAGAAAATATTTAGAGCACCTCTTTCTCTGATCTTTATCATTTTCTTGCCTCCAGATACTGCTTGTGTGTATGTTATTCCTCCCCTATCTGCTATCTCCTTATATAAAACACACACACACCTCTCTCCTAACTATAAATCTGGGGTTGGACAAGAGAGTTGGCCAGCTATATTCTATTTATGAAAATATAAACAAAAACGTTTATAAATTTTACCATCCTAAGTAGGATGCATGAACTATATTTGTCTATGAGTTAGTTAGGTCTCCCCAGGTTATTTCACATAATTCTAATTATCCTATTTAACATTGTTCCTATTAGGATAATTTTGCTTTGATGTGAATAAATGCCATATTCAGAGCACAGTCTATTTGTAAATGAACAATTCCCAGAGCCATAGAAACGCCCAACTCCTGAGGGTACCAGTCATTTATTTGAATAGCACCCACAAGGCAGGGTTGTGCACATATGTAATCTCAGCAACTTAGGAGAGCAAGGTAAGAGGATCACATGTGTAAAACCACCCTTAGCAACTTAACACAATACCCTGTCACCAAAAAAAATAAAATAAAAAGTACTAGGGTTATGGCTCAGTGATAAAGTGCTCCTGGGTTTAATCCCAGTACCCCACCCCCAAAAAGCACCCCCTGAAGTATTGGTATTCCCTGTGTTTCACTGTATAGCATTTAACTACACTGAAGACAACTCATCCTAGTACTGTGGTTCCAATTCTTGTGCACTAGACTTGACTACTGGTCTGCCCTTTTGTAGCCTCTTCTCTAGGAGATGTTTAAAAATGGCAGAATTTCCAATTTTGTTTTTCTTAACAAGGTTAATTTTGATTCATTCTTTAATTCCTGTGATGGTTACATTCATATAAACCTCACATATAAATGGTTCCATTGAGTTTCTAATCGCTCCATTCATTGGATATCTGTTGGGATTTCTTCCTCCACATTTGGAATTGTTTAAATGTGATACTTAGCTATATTCTGTAGGGCTCTGTAACAAATTTTAAGCAGTTTTACAAATGCTTCCTAATCAGTTTGTGTGGTTGCTGTATCACAGCCAGCTGCTATTCTGGCCCTAGAGTTCTCTCGCTCAACCTTCAGTGCTCCATTCATTGCTGTTAAGGGCATCTAGATAAGAAATTTAATTGGATGGGGTGGCTTAGACATGGTATCTCAAGTCTGTAACCCCAGTCATGTGGGAGGCTGACAGGAGGATTGCAAGTTTGGGGCCAGCCTGGGCAATTTAGGGAGAACTTGTCTCCAGATAAAAGGGGTTGGGGTGTACATCGATAGTATAGTCCCCTGGCTGTGGAAGTTGGAGGAAATAGAGTGTAATAGCCTCTTAGTATTCAAGCAGAAGTATTGTTTCTTTATCAACTTCCTTAGTAATTAATTAATTCCTATTTAGAAATGTAGAGGATGTATATAACCTTGGGGGAAACAATGTTAACTTTTAAGTTTGTAAAAAGGGGTTATTAACGGCATCATCTGCTGACCAGGAAGTTCTTTGCTGTTTTGAGAGTTGCCAAACTGGGCCTCTGAGGCTACTACAACTTCCCAGCAGGAGGAAGAAGTGAGCTTACAAAATAAAGCTTGTTTAAGAAAATGGTTCAAAGTAATGAGTGGAACTGTCCAGTGAATCATAGAATACCAGAACCTGGTAGACCTGCAGTTGTTTGAGGAAATAGTAACTTAAGGTGGTTTTATTTTCCTATTATGTATCTGATAAGGAAACCTCTTCACTTAATAACACTTTAACCCCAGGTACAGGTATAGAATGTGGGATGTCCTCTAGCTGCGTGGATCCCTGTTAAGGTTTTTTTTTGTTTTTTTTTTTTTTTTCCCGGTTTCATATTCTTTTCAGTTCCCTTCTATAGCCTGTTTCAGTTTTTTTGTTTTGTTTTGTTTTTTGGTTCCTGAGATTGAACTCAAGTCAGGGGCACTAAGCCACATTCCTAGCCCTGTTTTGTATTTTATTTGGAGACAGGGTCTCACTGAGTAGCTTAGCACCTTGCTTTTTTGGTGAGGCTAGCTTTGAATTCCCAATCTTCCTGCCTCAGCCTCCCCAGCTGCTGGGATTATAGGAACCACCATGCCTGATTCACATTTTTAACAATAGCTATTTGGATTTAATTTAATTTAATTTTTTTTTTTTTTAAGAAGAATCTGAAATCTAGTCCATTGTTATTTTTAGTATGACCAGGCCTCTCATTTCCCTATGTACCCTTTTTTCACTGGCTTCATTTTCAGGTTTGGGAGAGTTGTGACTGGGGAAAAAAAAAACAAAATCACTGTGCTTTTGGTGTCCTGTTACATATATACACACATTTTGCCAAGTGGAGGTATTCATCTTCTGACAAAGGGGTATCTGGGCATATGCAGAAAGTGTCCTCTCCTTCCCTGAGCTTTCGTTATGCATTCAGGCTGGAGCCCAGCTTTCAGACTGTTGTCCTACGCTGGGTACTTCTTAACAATGCTTTATTTCCCACACACCTGGTCTGAATTAGAAGAACTTTTACCATCAATACTTCTAAATTTGATTCACGATTAATGTGTTATTTTCCTCACCCCTTTTTAATGTACAACTAATTTTTTAGGAATTGGTATAGGTAAGTTTGTTTTTATATGTAAATGAGAAAGAATTATTTTGGAAATTTTTTTCAGAAGATTGCACTGTTCTCAGTTATTGTCTTTTTTTTTTCTTTCTTTCTTTTTTAAAGGTACTGGGGCTTAAACCCAGGGGCACTTAACTACTTAACTACCCGAGCCATGTCCCTAGTCCTTTTTGAGACAGGGTCTCACTAAGTTGCTGAGGCTGGCCTCAAATTTGGATCCTTCTGCCTCAGCCTCCTGAGCAGTTGGGATTATAGGTATGCACCACCATGCCTGGCAGTGTTAACTTTGTAACCTTAGACAGAGTTAATTCACCCTGATTTTGTTTCCTGTCTTCAAAATAAGCATAATGATGCTCACTTCATGAAATTGTTGAAAAGGTTAGTGATACACACATAATATGCCTGTCACATAAGAATGGGTTCAGTAATGGTAATTTATTCGTCTCTTCCCTGACTCCCTATCCTGGTTCTAATTCTACACATCCTTTGTCCTTTCTGGGGGCCAAAACACCATAAACATTCAGAAACTACTCAGTAGAATAAGTGAACTTTCATTGAATTTTGAAAGATGGAATTTTTCTGACAAGAAATAATATAGGGGAAAATATACTCCTGTGTAGTGGGAGCTGCTTAAAGCAGTTTCTTTATCTAGACTTAAAGAGCATAGATTAGATAGAACCTGAGCAGTTGTATAAATTTGGAATGAGTTGGATTTCCCTTCTCATACCCCTTTCACACTGAAGCAGTAACTAGTATGGACTCTAGTAGGGTTGGATTTATTATTATATATATTATTGCTATGTTGGGAGCTGAACCCAGGAGCACTCTACCACTAAGCTACAAGCCTAGCCCTTTTTATTTTTTCCTTTGACACAGAGCCTCACTGAGTTGCCTAGGCTAGTCTCAAACTTGATCCTCTTGCTTCAGTCTCCTGAGTCACTGGGATCACAGGCATATGCCTCCATGCTCTGCAAGGGTTGGAACTTTGTAGTGTTTCATGGATCATATCTCAAAATAAAAAGGTCTGGGCGTGTAGCTTAGTGGTAGATCTCCCTGGAGTTCTATCCCTAGTACCATAGAAAAAGAATATCTTAAAGTTGCATATTGTCACTAGAGTTCAAGAATAATGGGTAAAAAAAATAATCTCTTTACTGATACAGGGAAAATTTTATGGAATAACACAAAGGCATAAAGAGTTTAATGGGATCACCAAAACTACCAAATACTTTGTAGAGAAAATAAAAGAAAAATCTAAATAAATAAAGATAACATGTTGACATTTAGAAATTCAGTATTTATGGCAGAACAAATGACTGTTATCCCCACACTGAACTGGAGTATCATTAGGTGTTTTGTTGTTTGGTTTTAATTTTTCACAAAAGCTTAAAAGACAAAACTCAGACCACCTACTAAATAAGAATCAGATTCTCTCTGATGTATAACACTGGATGTAGAATACCATGGAAGAATAGCTTTCAAGGTCGAAGAGGAAAGTAATTTTAAGTCCAGAAATTCCTGAAGGACCTATTGGGAAATTCAAATTAATCTAGAGCTGGGTGCTGTGGCTTACACCTACGATCCCAGCTGCTCAGAAGGCTGAGAGATCACTGGAGCCCAGGAGGTTGTGACCAGCTGAGCAGTGTAGCAAGACCCACCCCCATCTTGAGGTGCGGGGGTGGGGGTGGGGGTCTAAAGAATGAAAAGATAAAAAAAATAATAGTGAAGAGTGCTCATTTCGGCAGCACATAAACTAAAACTGGAATGATTCCAAGAATATTAGTGTGGCCCCTGTGCGAGGATGATACACAATTTCATGAAGCATTTTGTACTTAAAAATATATATGTAGTGAGAAAAAGTTAAAGATTATAATTAAGTTCAAAAGATAATTGATTTGTGGTGTATAACATTTGACTGCTCAGCTAAAAAATAACCTAGGTAACCGAGGTGGTAGAAGGTGAGGAGGCTACAAAGGAAGGAAAGTATTATATGTTTCTTATTTGGAGGAAAGGTAATATAGTACTCCCTATAGTGTTTGGCAACACTGTCCTCCCTCTCCCACCCTCACCCCCACTTCTTCTAATACAGGGGGCTGGGGATCAAACCCGGGGCTTCTTGTATGCTGGGCAAATAGTACCATTGAGCTACATCCCCAGTCCCTTTTTTTTTTTTTTTTTTTTTGAGACGGGTTGTCACTAAGTTTTCCAGGCTAGCCCCAAACTGGATATTATCCTGCCTTCCAAGTAGCCCCCTTGTAGAATCTTTCTTTTTTAGCAGGGGGTGAGGTGGGATTGAGGTACCCAGTATTGAACTCAGTCAGGGGCACTCGATCACTTAGCCACATCCGCAGCTCTTTTGTATTTTATTTAGAGATAGGGTCTAACTGTTAAGCCTACACTGATAGAAGATAGCAGGTTTTAGTCTTTAGAAGAATAGAAAAGGGTGTTCATCTATCTGTTAAACCAGTAAAGACAGTAGACTTAGAGAAATGCATCCTTGAGGGGGGGACTCCATCAGTCTAATAAAGGGTGTTTGTAATTTCCACTCCCCTGCTTGGAACTTGAAAATGAAAAGGCAAGTAACGTGCTTGTAAGTAGAGTAACTATGTTTACCAAGGTTTTTATAGATGGATCTTCTATCTGACAGCTTCTGCTTGTCAAGTCCAGGAGAGTCAGTGGTGAACACCTATCACTTCAGGAAAGAGGAGCCCAGAGATCAGGTGTTTGGACTTACTTGCAGTGTTCTTTGTTTCTTGCAGATGTTCCCTCGAGCCTGCACTTCCAGAGCATGCTAAAGTCTCAGTGGCAGAACAAGCCTTTTGACAAAATCAAACCTCCCAAAAAATTCTCACTTAAGCACAGAGCACCCATGCCAGGCAGTCTGCCGGATCCAACTCGTAAAGACAGGCACAAGTTGGTCAACTCCTTCCTGACAACAGCCAGTAAGTTTCAGAGAACTGGGGAGTCCTCCAGAGTCCTAGTTATTTTTCCTTCTTTTATGTTCTCAAGTTACTGGTTTGCCATGCCAGTGTGTTGGGTAAGGCAGTTGTATCATAGTCTACTTCTGCTTGTCTTCGATGCTCTTAGATGGATTTTGGAAGCTATTCCAAACACCATGGATCATGGGGGAAGACCCAAAGTGTCCATTGAACAGTTGGCAGTGACATAGCATTGCATCCACCTGTCGGCAATGCTATGTCTTTTGTAGCCTAGTGTCACATTTCTCTGCTTATGGATTCCCTATGCCTGTCCTAGCCATTGTGCTATTTACTAGAGGCTTCAGTCCCAAAGGACTTTCTTGCTGCCCTGAGTATATAACATTGACCTAGAGAGAACTTAAGGGCTCCAATAAAAGATTTGAGAGAAGGTGTTTCACAGCTCTTTTTCTGTTCCCCTCTTCAGAGCTGTCCCATCACCAAACCCGGCCTGACAGGACCCACAGGCAGCACTTAGACGATGTGGGGGCTGTGCCCATGGTGGAGCGAGTGACAGCGCCAAAAGCAGAGCGCTTGCTCAACCCACCGCCACCCGTGCATGACCCAAACCACAGCAAAATGAGATTGCGAGACCATTCATCTGAGAGAAGTGAAGGTAGGGCCAGGCCCGGCACCTCTACCTGCATTTGCACCTGCTCAGGGCTTTCTGGGGCAGCCCAGGCTTCTCTTAATTGCCCGCCAGCTTTGTCCTTCGCCTTCTAGGAAGGCTGAGTAGGGGGGCACTACTGCTTCTAAATGCAGGTCACTTCTTACCGCTGCAGCAACCTCTGCCAATTCCCCTACCTCCCATCACCAAGTTTGCTTCACCTTTTTATCTTCTAGGCTTAGAAAGCATTTTTACCTTTCATGCATATTGCTGTTGTTCTTTAGTGTGTATTTAGAAGTGAAGCTTGTTGAGATAGTTATGTACTCCTTTCTTTTCTGTTGACTTCTGCAGTGTTGAAGCATCACACAGATGTGAACAGTTCAAGCTACTTGGCTGCTGCCCACCATCCACCACACAGTCCCTTGGTGCGACAGCTTTCCACCTCGTCAGACAGCTCCGCACCCACCAGCTCTGGCTCACAAGTTACAGCCAGTGCTTCCGTAAGTACCTCTGTGTATTTGGCTGGGCATCCTCTGCAGGTTGCCCCTCATGCACATGTCTCTGGGGTATTTTATTAGAGGGTAAGTTATAAAGCCCAGGACATTCATGGTAACTCATTTTTAAGCCATAGTGGTGGTACTTAATCTTTTATTTTTAATAGTGGAGTTGGATCTCTGCTGAGCCACCCACAGGAAGCTTGTTACTGAAGTAGACTATTAAGGTGATCTCTGACTGTTCAAGATTTGTGGAACTAAGCTTCAGAAGTCTACAGTATCATGGCCTTAACTCTCTTGGCCCAAGAAGTGAGAGGAGGGAGATGGGCTTTGGAGATAGCTGTTGATTTCCTTATTTCTGTTCTTAGGTGAATGGAGGTTATTTCCAGTGAAAACTGGGTGTGAGGTATTGGAAAGGAAGGGAGTAGGCAGAGAGTTCCATGTTTTTTTTTTTTTTTTTTTTTTTTTTTTTTTTTTTTTTTTGTTTTTTTTAGTTGGAGAGAACAGAACTACAAATTCAGCAGGTCACTGCGATAATGTCCACATAGTACATTCATAATGGCAGCCCGTTTAAGGCACTCTTTCCCCTCACCCCATCAATTTTGACAGTACCATATTCCATCCATCAAGCTGTTTGTAGCCATTTCAAACATTCTCCTTAATTTTGTTTTAATATTTTCATCTCTCAAGCTGCACTCCCTTGAACACATATACTTGTAGCTGATTTGTATCCATTAAAGTTCTTCATATAATAATTTCGATAACAATTATAACAGTAATAATAAAACTCTAGAACACTAATGTTTATTGTACACTTATGCCAGTGCTAAGTGTTTGATGTGTGTGATCCCTTTTAATCCGATAATAAATACCCTTTGAGATGTAGGTGGTTTTATGAATTCCCATGTTTTGGGCATGAAAACTAAGGCTTTCCAATGTTAAGTAAATTGCATAAAGTGAGGCAGCTTGTGAAGGGTTATAATTGTGATTCAAACCCCAACAGTGTGACTGCAGAGCCAGCTTTCTCACCATGACAGTACACAGTCTAAGGGTGGAGGCATTACAGAGGTGACTTAGAAAGAAAGCTCTTACGGAGCTTAGATCAAGAAACTTCTAAGCTCACAAAATGTGCTCCCTAGGCTCCTATCATCAGGTAGGAATTCACATTGTTCTCTCTTTGCTTTTACGAATCAGACCATCTTTTTCAAGAGGGCTTCTTACTACTTCCCCTTCTTCACCTCACACATTCAATTATTCACCAGCATAGGGTTTCAGATAATCAAAGAATTTAGAAGTCTCATTGTGATAGAAAATATAAGCTATTAAGACCTGGGACTTGTTGAATATATCAGGCTTTCTGAGTCTGAAAAAATGTTAATCTGGGCCTGGATGCTTTGGAATTTTTACTTAATTTTGGCATGTAGATTTTTTTTAAAAATATTTTTTAGTTATAGGTGGGCACAATATTTTTTAATTTTATTTTTATGTGGTGCTGAGAATCGAACCGAGTGCCTTACACATGCTAGGCGAGTGCTCTACCACTGAGCCACAGCCCCAGCCCTGGCATATAGATTTTTGTGTATAGCACTCTGGTGACCCTTAATGCTTTCATTCCTATTCAGTGAATATGGATTTATGTAATAGTAAGCAGAGTGATTGGCCAATTATTCAGAGAGAGACTGGATTACACTGGAGAAATTATGGTGGGAGCAGGGTATTTGTGGTAGTGCTTTGCCAGAGTCATTGGTTGCAGTAGAATCACTTTAGTGGCTTTAAAAATATATATTTTTACCACAACCAACCAACCTACCTACTTTCCTTCTCTCCTTTCTTGTTTTCTGATGTACAACTAGATATAGGAACCACTTACTGTTCTCATTGCCTGCTCTCTACCTCTGGCTCTAAATAGGAGAACGCAGTTAAGTTAGATCAAAAGAAGCTATCAGAATGGGGGGGTCTAGGACAAAGATGAGAGGTAGAAGTTGTTCTTGGACAGTTCCACAAGCCACTTTGCCTGGAAGGTACAAATAGCAGGCCCAGAAAGATTTGAGGAAAATACATACCTGTTTTCCAGCAGTTTCACATTCTTGACCAAGGTACGGAGAAGTTTGAATCTCCTAAGGCACCCTTTCTTTGTGTTCTTTTGTGGGACATGGATGGAACTTGAACAGAGATGTGGCAGTAGCTAAAGCTTTTGTATATGAGGTCACTGATCCTTAGCTGTAGAACCCATCCAGTCAAGATTTGCAAAAAATCTTTCAACCATTTTGGCTAAGCAGTTGCTGTAAATTTGTGAATTTATTGACAAGTCTAGTTGAGTTGGAGATAGGAAGGAGATAGAAGTGGAAAAGGAGAAGAAGATAGAAGTGGAAAAGACTTTGTGGTTACCTGAAATCATAAATGACAGCAGCTGAAATCCTGGTCCAGGAAGTGCTAATTTTTAATATTCCCTGAAAATGTTCTAAGATGATGGGGTGAATAAACTGTACATCACTTTCCAAGAATTGAGGATAGTTGTAGTTAGTTGTAGGGGAAATTCTGACCCTCCTTATCTTCTTTCACAAGCCCCTCCTCTGAGGCTTGGCCACACTTAGTGGTTTGGGTGTGAATGTAGCCTCTTAGATGTTTCCAGATGCATTGTTGCCATGGCAGCATGTTTGTCATCCCACTGTTTCCCTCACAGCTCAGTTAACAGTCTGTTTCAGGATAAGGTATATGCTGTATGGACAGAAGCAGCTAGTAGACTTTCTCTTCCATCTAAGAAACTAGGCCAGTTGGCTCCCTACTTCATTCCTTCCTCATCTCTCAGCTACAGTAGATACCCACCTCTGCCTCTGAAATTGGATCCTTGGAAGTCTTGTTTCCCCAAGGGTTTGATCTTCTTCACTTCCCATCAGAGCACATTTTTTTCTTCAGGAATGGGAGTTGTGGATACTTCCTCCTCTTAAGTTTCCCTCATCTCAGTGATGCAACTGGAAGGCGCTAGGCTCTTTCTCCAAGAATAATAGGGGAAATTACCCAAGAGCCAAGCAGGTGGTGGGTGCAGATTTATCTAAAGAATTCAGATTATCAAGAGGAGGATGCTTTCATAACAACCAAGGTGAGATGGTCTGTTGAGAGGGCCTAACCTTGGAGCGTCTTTCAGAGTAAGAGAACTCAGTATTTGTAACCCAGAAGTCATCACTAAGCATAAACATTGCCATTTAGGAGCTAAGTGATAGGGTTCAGGAATAAAAGAAGGGAGTAGGGATTTTTAAAGGAGGGTGTTAATAGAGTTTTTATAGAGGAATAAAAACTTCAACAGCTGACCTAAAACCCCTGAATACTCACCTCTATAAAATTCAACAAATCTCTTTTCACATGAGCTCATGAAGGAAAAGGGGGCTAGTGGGGCAATATGAATGAAAATTACTCCTTGGGACCATCTGGTATTTCCCCAAGGACTCTGCTCTTAGAGACAGTTTCTAGGGGTGTGCCATGGCATTCACTACAGAGTTCTGTCTAAGGACCCAAATGCCTGATTATTGGTAATCCTGCTTATATCTTAAATGAATGATATAACGTTTATAAAATTGTGCCTCTCTTAAAACATAACCTTTGTCTTAACAGCAGCCAATAAGGAGGAGAAGGGGAGAGAGCTCGTTTGACATTAATAACATTGTCATCCCAATGTCTGTTGCTGCAACAACCCGAGTAGAGAAACTACAATACAAGGAAATCCTTACTCCCAGGTAGAAGCCTTGAATAATCAGCTCCTCTCCCTTCTGTTATTGCCCTTTTCCCCTCTTCTCTTCTGACCGACCTTTGGGATCTGTCTTCTCTCTTAATCTCCCTCTCCTCACTTTTTTTTTTTTTTTTTTTTTTCCGCTTGCTTGCCATATTAGGAATAGGACCCAGGGCCTCAAAACTGTTAGACAAGCACATCCCCAGTCCCTTTTTTTTTTTTTTAATTTTATTTTAAGACATGGTCTTACTAAAGTTGCCCAGGCTGGCTTGGAACTTGATATCCTCCTGCCTCAGCTCCTAAAGTATGTGGGATTATAAGCATGTGCCACTGATTCCCGGGGTGTTCTGTCTTCTCTTTAAATGAAAGTCTTACCTAGGGAGTGAAATTGTTTCTCTATATAATTTTCTCTTGTTACTTTGTATGACCAGAGATCACAGCCTGGCAGGTCACTGACCATGATTAGCATATAAACATGTTTTATTAAAATACTGAATTTGTTTTCAAATTCAAGGCAGAATTATTTCCAATTTTTGTTGATTTTTATCTGTTACTTACATTCTCATAATGGTACCAGTCCTGAATAGTGTTTGTCCCATTTAAAGAGGTTCCCTTGCTTTGGTTTGTTAGTCTGTCATCCCCAACCCCAGCTTGCTGCATGTGTTTCTGGCCTTTGTGGGTATTTGAATATGAGGATTTTTTTTTTTTTTTTTTTTTTTTTTTTTTTTTTGAGGTCTCAGGGTTACAGAGGATGAGCTGTGATAGGGCTGAGCCTTCCCCAAGCAGCCTGCCTACCATCTAATGGGACTTTTTTTCCTTCTTGGTTTTGCAGCTGGCGGGAGGTTGATCTTCAATCTCTGAAGGGGAGTCCTGATGAGGAGAATGAGGAGGTAATGGCATGGTCATACTCTCTTAGAAGAAAACAAACTCTTGGGTACACATATTCAAGATGCCTCAAGACCTGTGGGTGTCAAGTGAAAGCTCCGTGTATACCTGTCCTGTCCAGGAAGAACCTAGAAAGGGGTGGGACTGGTTCTAGAATTGCTATATCCATACTTAAACTCAGCTTCCTGGGGGAAAGAGAGACTTAATGAAGCTGTTCTGTTGCAGATCGAGGACCTATCTGATGCAGCCTTCGCCGCCCTGCATGCCAAATGTGAGGAGATGGAGAGGGCACGGTGGCTGTGGACCACGAGTATGCCACCCCAGCGGCGGGGCAGCAGGTAATGGGGCAGGCACAGGTTCCCAGGGCTGTGGAGGGAGGGTGCTGGATAGGGAGTTTGGGGCCTGCCTGGGTCCACAGGATTGCCAGTGCACAGGATTGTTTGCTTTTCATATCATCTATTGACAATGTCCTAGAATTAATTACAATTAGTATTTGTTGGAACTAGGAGAAGAATGACTAAGTCAAATGTTACAGTCTTGCTGAGTAGTCCCTGTCTGGTTCTCATAAATTATTGTGATTGCCTATGGCTATTGGAGGCCAGTCATGGTGATTGAGCTGAAGGAGTTTTGAAGGCCTCACCACAAGTTAACCCTCTTTGAGTTAGTTCTCTGAAGTGGGAAACCACAGTTCACTATCTCACACATCACTATCCTGTTTCCATTTATCCGAGTTTGGACTAAATTCCCTATTCCCTAAATTCACTATGTGCTCTGCCAGGGATTAGCCCTGGGCATTGTTTAGCCCTGACTTTCTCAGGATGATAGATGTACATAGTTCTCAGATGTTATGTTTTCTATCTCCTACTCTGGGCAGTAGTAGAATGAAGCGAGATTTGCTAAATCTTAAGAAAACACGCTGGTATCAGTCAGCATCAGTGTCTGTTGGTAGGGATGCTTTTTTCATACATCCTCCTCACCCCTCACCCACCCAGAAATACACAGACAAGAACTCCTCCATTAGCCTACACTCACAGCTGCGTTCCTTGGTGTACAGGTCTTACAGGTCATCAGACGGCCGGACCACCCCACAGTTGGGCAGTGCCAACCCCTCCACTCCACAGCCCGCCTCCCCTGATGTCAGTAGTAGCCATTCTCTGTCAGAGTTATCCCACGGTCAGTCTCCTAGGAGCCCCATTAGCCCAGAACTGCACTCGGCACCTCTCACCCCTATGGCTCGGGACACTCTGCGACACTTAGCCAGCGAAGACACCCGTTGTTCCACACCAGAGCTGGGATTGGATGAACAGGTGAGGTATACCACCTTTGCCTGGGTGGGGTTGGCAAAGTGGCGGGTGAAATTGGGAAGGGGTAGTACCTGCAGAAAATGAATCTTCATTTTTATGATTCCTTCTCCCCATTTGGAGGTGGGATCATGCACTTCAAATTGATTTTCTGCATGTACAAGGGAATTGTACCAACCATTGTTAAATGAGTGCCCACCCTGTGAAGGGTCTTCTGAATTGGCTCAGAAAATCCAAATAGACTGGTCATGGGCTTTAGACCACAAGTTTTGGGGCAGGAAGCTGGCTTGGGTCCTCACCAGAGCAAATTGTCTGCCCACAGTCTGTCCAGCCATGGGAGCGACGAACCTTCCCCCTGCCATACAGTCCCCAGGCAGAGTGTGAGGACCAGCTGGATGCACAGGAACGGGCAGCCCGCTGTACTCGCCGCACCTCAGGCAGCAAGACTGGTCGGGAATTAGAGGTGGCACCCACCTCGCCTCCCATTGTCCCCCTCAAGAGTCGGCATCTGGCAGCAACGGTCACAGCTCAGCGCCCAACTCACAGATGAGCTGGAGATGAGAATCTAAACAGACTCACTAACTATTGGCATTAAAGCTTCAGAAATCTCTGCGTTTGATATTCAAACATCATATGCCGGAAATTTTCACAGTTTTTAGTGAATTTAAGGAATTTAGATCCTCCTTTGGTATTTTTTTTTCCTCATTTTGATTTTTGTTTTGTTTCTGTTTCCATGTTTTCTTGTCACCCACCTGAGCACTTCCTCTAGTTGGCAGACAAGTTCAGGATAAGACCCTGCTGGCCTGGTCCTGGTACATCCTCTGCACTGTTGAATCACTGGACTTAGCAATGTTAGATGATCAACCCTTTCCTTCATACCTGTGGGCAGGGTAGAAAAGCCAAAGGGCAGAGGGGATGGAAAGCTCCAGTTCAGCATGGCCTTTTAGTTTAGGATGGGACAGAACAAGGGCATTCTGGGCTCTTACTCCCCTTCCCTCCCATCTGTGGCTTGGCTAAGCTCTAGTGTTTCTGGCTGGGTCCCCCTATCCCTACTTTGGTTTTCTGTGCTGGAGAACCCCATCAGAGCCTCTTTGCCATAATTGCCAGCTGTTCTCACTGAGCTCTCAGCCACCAGGATGGCTCCCCCTTGTCACCCAGGTCTTCAAGACCTGTTTTCAGTTTCATCTGCATTTGGTCATCTCTTTCTTGACTCCTTAACTGCAGTAACCTGGCTGCGGCTGCTCAGGTTCCCCCATCCTGCCCCTCCTCGTCTGCTCCCCATGCCATGCACACACCCACACACATCAGTCCTTCCATGTTGGCCTGGTCTGTGAAGGTAGGGTCTCCTTAACCTCATCCCCACTCCCCTACAAACTAGGAGATTGGGGATGCGAGCAGCCATCTCCCCTGTATAATTTTGCTTTCACTGACTGGTTCACTTTGTCATGTTTCCTTCACCTCTATTTCCCTGTCAGTGTCAATTAGACTCTTCCTCTTTCATGCTCCCCTTGCCTGTGGAACATTGTCTGGACCTAGCTGTGGTTTTCATCACTCCCCATCACCCTCCTTTGTTAACCTTGTGCCTGTCTCATGTGTAATCACATCACCAAAAAGGGGGCGGGGGGAAGGACTTTTTTTTTCTGCCATTTTGTAATCGTATAAAAATTATAGGCAAAACTGCTTAATGGTTGGGGTTTTTTCACAATTTTCAACATTAGTGATTTTTTTTTTTCTGTTTGCAAGTTAAAGGGTTTGTCATTGTTTCTTTAAACAACAATAATGCACCATATCCCTATGCATAAAGTGCTTCTTCTATTTATAAGGTTGAAAATTCTGAATAACCCTTTTAGCATTGTAAAGAAAAAAAACAAAAACAAAAAAAACCCAAAAAACAAAAATTAAAAAAAAAACTTGTATTTTGTAAATATTTTCTTTTCCTGCTTTGAGCTGTGTAATGGCAGCGAAACATGTAGCTGTCTTTGTTCTATAGAAATGCTTTTCTTCAGAGAAGCTGATCTTTGTTAATGTCTTGATTCTGTTCGCAAAGCACAGACTAGTGCTTAAAAAAAAAGGAAGGAAAAATGAAAAAAATAATAAAAAAAAAAGAGTTACAGAATGTTGGGTGTCAGCCGTTTATTGACCTACGAGACTTTGGTGTCCATGGCAGTGATGGTAGCTCTGGAGGCAGCTCTGCTGGAGCCAGACTTTGGGGGGTCTGCCTGGCTCTGAACCTTGGAGACCTTTGTCTTCTGGGAGCATGGCAGGTTCATGTGATGGTCATGAGAGAGGACATGATGGTTTTCACTGAGATGAGAGGTACCAGGAGGAGAGAGGCCAGCACAAGACTGTCTGCTGTTACTGAATGAAAGCAGTCCATCTGTGGCCTCTCAGTGTTCTTTCTCTAGTGAGGCCAGCACTGTATGTATGTAAATCTAAATTGTTCTTTAATGAAGATTTTACTTTTCACCATTTAACTTTTCTGAAGTTGGGAATCAATGAGAATATGTGTAATTTTAATGGTACCTGGATTGTTTCTTTGGCCTGCAACATTTCTCCTGAGGAGATTTCCTTTGTAGAAGACAAATGAGTGGGTGGACCCAGTTCTCTGTCTCCTGTTTTCCATAGCAGTGAAGCCAGAACAGCAAATGATGCTGCAATCATGGCTCTGAAAGCAGTCATTCTGAGAACATCCCTTGTTAGCTAGCTGGTGCTGCTGCTTTAGTTGGAGTTAAGATCTGCTTGACTGAAGTAGCTCCCAGCAGTATCATGACCTTGACATGATTATTAAGGAATAATGTGGTGAGTTAGTCCACAATAAGGTTCCAAAGGAAAGAAGACAGCTATGTGTGTAAACCTGTAAGGGATCTAAGCCATTCATTCAGGTAAATGACTTATTTTCTGCTTTAGCCTCAAGCCTCTAGACTAATCTCAGGTTCGAGTGCACTGGCATGGGTCTTAATGCTTTAGTACAGTATTGTGAGTTTAATGGGTATTCATTGCCCATTTGAGTTGGTCGGAAAGGTTTGCCAGAACTAGAATGAAAGCATCAACTGAGAATGAACAAGTATGGATTCTCTTTTCACCTTCAGATCCCCAGAAAGAGCTGTTAAGCCTCATGTCCAGCTTTTAACAAAATGGTCATTTTTTGTTCTAAGTTTAAGTGTGAAAAAGAACTTGGGAGTCATACATTCTGTATAATTTTCTTGTCCTTGGAATCCATGAGCCAGAGATCTTATTTAATCAGAGTAATAACTTTATTTCCAAATTCACTTTTACAGCAACAGTCAGTGTAAATCATTTGTTAAAACACACAATACACTATATGGACATTCACAGACATGAAGCTAAGCTAAAATGATTTTATGTCCCTCCCCCCACCCTCAAAATTACCAAAGAAGTTATGGGACTTGCAAGTGCCAGAAATCATCCTGCCCAGCACAGCAGATTCATGGGCTAAGTCCATTAGGAGGTGAGACTCTGGGTCAATGCCCAGGGTAACCCTTTCCAACGGTGGAGAGAAGTTGGGAGGCTCATGAAGCCACAGACCTGTAGCTGATAACCACCTCTTTCCTCTGTCCCCAACTCTTGTTTTATTTCAGGAACAAAGACAAGGGAAATAAAGGAAGAGATAGCTGCTAGAAGTTTGGCCCAGTGGGAGAGGTGACACTGAGGTGCCAATAGCTTAGAGGAAAGGATGCCAGGGTCTTGGGGAGGTAAGATTGTGGATTCAGAACTCCACCAAAGTGCAGCAGCAGCAGGCCAGAGCAACAGGATTTCCAGTTCCTACACAAGCCTCATAACTGGCTGGGAAGGGTTGGAAAACTAGCTAGCTGCCTCTGCAACTGGGAAACCCTTTCAGAACAGCACAGCCCCATGGCCTCAAGCCCATGGCACCCCCCTCCCTCTAAGCAAGTGTGGTTGAAATTATGAAAAGGGCTTCAAGGCAACCTAATTGCGCACTCCAAACCTTCCCTTTGCCCATATGAACTGTCTTACATGGTCCTCCCCCTCCCCCCATAGCACAGCAAGCAATCATAAACAGGATGCAGTCTCACCACAGAAGTCAGTTTAAATGGAACTATTGATAAAGTGAATCGAGAGCTTGAATGAACCAGGCATATAGTATATCCTATCTAGCCCACCCAGGGACATTGGCTATGGAGGTGGGACAAATGGAGGGAGAGGGGAGTGCCCAGCCCTGGGAGGATTGTCCTCATTAAAATGATTTTATGTCCCTCCCCCCACCCTGTCAGCACTGAACTGATCACTCAAAACCATGATATTTAGGCTGACCCCAATAGCCCATCCCACGAGGGAGATTGCAGAGCTCTCCATGTAAGACCCACGGTGCTGAAGAGCAGGGCATGAAGAACAGCAGGAGGACAAGAAGAGGCGCAAGAAGAAACAGCTGAAATCGGTGGCAGTGATGAAGGGTCACATATCTTTAAACCACACTTTCTATCCAGGAGTCAGGACAGTAGGAAACCTCACTATGGAAAGTTAAAGACCCAGGTAATTTGCATGGGCAGCCCTGCCCACCCAGCCCCAGGATTGCCTTTATCTGTACCCAAATTGGAAGCAGCTGAGTATCCACAAAGGCAGCTTCCTTTTTTCCACAGCAACGGGGTCATGGGAAGAAATGGTGTCTTCTAGCTAGTTCCCCTTCCTCTGTCAGTATAGCCCAGGACCCCTTGGAGCCTGTCCAGGCTGGCAGCAATCCATCTCAGTCCCTACTGATGCGGAGGCCCAGGCTGTCCCTCATGAGGGCCCAGACCAAGGGTAGAGCTTCTGGGGGCTACAGCTCTCTCCCCACCTGAGGCTGTCACCAGAGAGGACCATCTCCATGCTGCAAACCAGACCAGCCACAGCCTGCCCTGACAAGAAAGCCTGAGAGACAGAGGGAGGCACCATGTTTCTGTCCTAGCCCTGTGCCTCCGGCCTTCTTCACAGCTGATAGCCCTCAGGTGTCAGAATCTGGTCTCTGTTGGGTCCCAGATGCTGAAGAAATCCTTTCAAAACTTAGGTGGCCCCTGCAGGGTACAGCTACACCTGCCTCTTGGAGCCAAGTACCTGTGTGAGGGTGAGAGACATCCAGGACCCTCATGAGGGTGGGCTAGAAGCCTCTTTACACGCGTTTTGAGATGCATGCGTCCGGGTTTTTTTTTTTTTTTTTTTTTTTTTCATTTTTTTTTTTTTTTTTTTTTTTTACACTCACTATCTTAGTCACTCTTGTGAATCCAAACAGACAAATCCAACTACAAAGCAACAGGGTGCAGACAGGGGAGGGAAGGGTAACATCTATGTATATGTCCAGCTGCTCCAGCAGATCAAACAGCATTGCTTTCAACTGGGACTAGGGAAAAGAATCATTTCCGAGGGGCATGTTCCCTGCTTGAGGGTGTGGAGGGCTGATTCCATGCACATGGAGTTGAACGGTGGCTGGGCTCTGGGAGACTGGCAGTTAAGCTAGGGTGGAAGTGAGGGACTGAGAGTGTGGCCCTGCCCTGGGAGTCACCTGCCCATCCTTGTGTTATTACTAGCAACCAGGACATCCTACCTCCTGCTACCAGCTCAACACAGGAAGGGAACCAGGCCTATCAGACAAGTCAACAAGGAAGGCAAAAACATCTAGGGTCATGGCCAACCCCACCCTGGTTCACACCAGTTGGGTCAGTGGGACTTAGAGCAAGATAATGAATTCCAGCCCTTGTGCCTGGACTTTGCCCTCTCTTGATTTTACCCTTAGTGTAGAGTAGGTGCAGCCAGCATTTAACCAGTGTCCATGACTAGGGATTGGGGGAGGCTGGGCACTCAGGACAGTGACATAATGAGGGGTACGGCAGTGATTGGGCTCTCACGGCAGACACACGAGTACAGAGAGACAGGCAGAGGGGGCTGCAGTGGCCATGGAAAGGATGGGAGGCTCAGGACCCACCTCCCAAATATTACCCCCACCCCACACACTCCATGGATGCCGGAGGCCCAGGCTTGGGAACAGGAGGATGTCCCCCAAGAGGCACAAGTCCTTACAAAGAGAACTGGTTAGCCCTAAAGTCCTAGATCTGTGAGGTGGCCAAAATCGTGGCTGCAGTTCCAACCTTCAGAACTCAGTGAATCGGGGCCTTTGGGCCCAGGGCCCCTCAGCTCCAGACCTTCCACCTGCAGGGAGGAGAGCCAGCGCTCTGGGACGGCAGGGTCAGTCTTCTCCAAGGAAATAATCCAGGATGCCACCCTCCCGCCCACCTTCCTTCTGTTCAGTGCCTCTTCTCCCACAGGCCACCTTCCAGAGGGGGCAGCAGACCCCGGGCCAAGAAGCAGCGCAGGCCGCCCCACTGGGCCCCTCGCCCCTCTCTGCCCCACACCGCACCCTAGGTTGACATCCTCGGCCTGGGGCTGCAGCTCACCAGGTTTCCCATCCTTCATTGCTGCCGCTGTCCCTGTGACACCCTCAAATGGGGTTCGAGGCGGCGGGCGCCCCAGTCCCTTAAATTGCCCGAAAGCAGCTCTCAGAGCCTCTCCTTCGCCCTCTTCTACTCAGAGGGGAAAAAAAAAGAATCGAAAGGAATTGCCCACGGAAATGTTGGTGTGGCCATGTTTTTACATGTTTGTGTGTGTGGGTTTTGTTTTTTTGAAAAATATTTTATTGTTAGCCCACCGATCAATTTGGAAAGATGAAATTTGCTCTTATTCCCATCACTGATTTTGAAGTCCCGAGCCAAAGCCGAGCCACAAAAGCAGGTTAGGTGACGACCCGGTTGACCCGTCTGTGAGGAGCAGCGGGGGAGGGCAGAGGGCGAGGGGCCAGATCATTATTCTTTTTTTTTCCACACTCTCTCACTCTCGCTTCTCTCCACGATTATTGACTGCCCCGGGGGCCTGATCACAAACCCTGCTTGGCCAGGGAGGCGGACACTTCGTCGGCTAGCGTGGCGAGCTGGGGCGAGTCCACCATGTTGATGCTACCGGTGGAGGAGACGTTGCTGAGGTGCCTGG